ACAGTGGAAACAAGCTAACGGCTAGTTTGAACCCATCTGCAATCATCAATCAGACCTTCAGTGTTTTAGTCCTCCCTGCTCCTCAGACCAGAACCAGATCAGTCAAGCTGTTTCCTCCTCCTGCTCTCCTGTGGTTTTAAAACCTTAAATGTATTTATAAATTCAGTTTTAGTTCTCAATCAGCACTTCAGTATCTACATTTTTTTTAAAACTAAAACAAGTTTAAAACCCAGCAGTAAGTAAACTTACCAGATAAGCAGTTAAGTTTAAATCTAAACCTGAGTCTGGACCCAACAGGACTTCCCCAGCCGGTCCAGAACCAGTCATTAAAGCCCTGCTCCAGCTCCTTTCAACAGCTCTGTGAGACGGTGCAGAACAGTCCCTTCCGGCCTTCATGCAAATGAAGCCTCCTCATGAATTTTAATGAGAGCAAGCTTGTGCTCGTGTAATCACCAGCTTCCCCTTATCTGCTGTCCTGAAACAGAATTAATAAGAGGAACAACAAGAAGGAAAACACCAGGCTTCAGAGCAGGGGAGCTGGGAGTTCAGGTCCAAACCCTGTGAGAACGGCTCGTTAGAGCAATCCTGGGAGGGTTAGGCTCCGTTTGGAACCTCCTTCAGATACCATGTTCTCAGCTCTCAGTTTGTGAGTCAGTGTGTTGTTGTTGGAGGAGAAACCATGGACAGATGCCAGGAGAAGCTGCAGACAGTGCAGAAAGAGCTCTGGAAGGTTTCCAACTACATCTACACATAAAACTGTTGTGGCAACACAAGTCTATCTGCTTTTTATTCATCTTTTTATCTAAAGTGGCAGAAAACACTTCAGAGGAACAAAAAATCAAGAGAGCATGTTGACATGTTGATCTGAGCCGAGGGTGCACAGACTTTCTGCTCTGTGGTTAGAGTTCTGTTCTGTTGCTCTGTTGAAGGATTCCATAGTTAACATTCCATTTAATAGTTTAATTCATTTATTTATTACTTCCAGATGTGGCTTACAACCAAAACAGAAAATTAAACAAAAACATTTAAGTATGAGGAAAATAAATAAGATTCATTACATGTCTAAATGACACAACAGGCCACTGGGTGGTGTCGTTTATCGTTCTGATGAATTTAAATCTAAATTTAAAAAGTGTTTTTATTAAGGCTGTCAACAAAAATAATCATTTGCCTGATACTGATAATACTTAGTCACCTTAAAGCCCCTCAGGAGTTCCAGTTAATACTAGTCAAAGTGAAGGGGTTGCTTTTACCCAAAAAGAGGCGGAGCATCACTTCCAAAAAGGGGCGTGGCCATTCTGTTCAAACACTGTCTGAAAGCTCCTCGTGTTCGATTGTGTTTCACATCAGCTGGATTTTCTGCCACTGTGAGGCTTTATTAACAAGAATCTGTTGGTTCCTTGTCTTCATGCAGTTTCTCTCCTAAACACCACCTTCATGGTGCTAATAAAGTTTTACCATAAAACACTCCTCTTTGCTTCTAAGCTGAGCTTCACATTCAAACTGTAGCTGCTGGTAATTCTCAGAGGGTTAGATTTCCAGAGGATGACGCCATGTTCACACATGGAACATATTAACTGTGAGTTCAGAGCTGTGGTTAAAGGCAGCTCTTTTTACAGTTAGAGGTTTGGATCAAACTCAGACTCAACAGTCCCTCAAGGAGAAACTAACCACACAATGGTCACTGTTGTGATCTTATATCTTTATAAAACCAGCAGCATCACTGAAACATTTTATAAAGACTTTATTCATCAATTTAACTACATTTTAAATCTGTCTAGATTTACACATTTTACAAAAATCATTCACTAAACATCGACTGAAATTACAGAGGCACAAAATAATCCAGTAATAATAATTCAATAATTAATCCAGTACGTCGTAGAGCGTTTCATGTTTTTGTTGTAATCTGATTTCACCTCATTCTGTTGCTCAGCCTGGATTATTCTTATTTAGAGGGTGCACTGTAAAGGGGTAGTTCACCTCTTTAAAGTTGGGTTCTGTAGGAAATAATAGTTTTTTTAAGTGGATCTCTGCCGTCATTAAACAACTCCAGTGTCAAAGACTTCATAGCTGCTCACACAAACAGTATTTTATAAACCTTTACACTTTATTTAATTACAAATTTTTCATTTAGTTACTAGAATTTTATGTTTTTGTAAGTATGAATAATAGTATATTATGGAAGAAACGGTGGTGCTAAGGTTTATAAAACAATGTTTGATGGACTTCTATAAAAACGTGGAGGTTTTGGTAGTTTTAGGAAGCAGTGACCCAGGTTAGGACTAGCTGTTAGCTTGTCAGTCCTGTCAGAGTTTCTCCAGAGAACTATGTCTATAACATATAAAATATTATTTGTTGGTAAGCTTTCCATAGAACCCCGTTCCAAATTTTTCTGAGTGTTGATAGTTTTTATTAATTAATTAATTAATTAATTAATTAATTTGTTTATTTTGGCTTGAATGGATGAAATAGTTTTAGATTTTTCAGGAACTCTGTTGAAGGCCCTGTCACACAATGTTTTAATTCAATTCAATTAAAAAATACTTCCCAGAGATAACTATACTATATATGTACTGTGTATACTATACTATAATGTTTTAGACAACTTTATGAAAATGTTAAAGACGTTAAAGATGGAATTTTAAAAAAATCAACTGGAAGCCTGTTTTAGGTGTGTGCATATTTTCAAGCTAACAGTTTGATAAAATATATGTTAGTTTAGACATGTGAAAAGTTGTCCTGCGTTGTGTAAAATGTTACAGTGTGACAGGGCCTTTTAATCACTTTATGACCAACATGAACTTCAACCAACACAAACATCTCCAGGGTTTAAGATTAGATCAGGAATGTGGGTCAGAATCAGAAAGAAAATAATTTCAGAATGATTGATAACATTCTTGTTCTGAAAATAAACCACTTCAATATAAATTAAATATAAAAACGCTTGTTTATTTGGCCCGAGGTCGTGTTTACTTCAGTCAAAGACAGATTGAGTCTGAAGTCTCAGCTGATGTTATTTTATGGATTAGAAGATGAAAGGTTGGAGAATTAGTTTATAATGTTTCCAGAAATGTTTCTGGTTTGTTGCAGACATAAAAATATGCTTTTAGCTCAGGCTACAACTGGAACTGTTTCTCATAACTGCAGATAAAAACACATTCAACTGACTTTAATGTTCACTAAATAAGTCACTCAGTTTCAGGCTGTAAAAATGTCATAATTCCTGTTTGTTCATGTASAGGAATGTAACGTCATATTTTAAAAATCCTTTTCTGTTATTTTTTTCTTGCTGATTGTTGGTTTAACGTAGACAATTTATCACAAACCACCAACCTTCAGCTCTAAAGCTCATAAAAATCAATCTGACTCATTTTTTTTTGTTTTTTGCAGCCTTATTATTTCAAACATAATTTTGTCGTTTCTCTTCAGAAGAGAGAAAGAGGAAATCTCACTGAGACTAAACTAGTTAAAGCAAAACTTTAAAGTGAAAATAACCAGTTTAAAAAAAGCCAAGATCTGTGATTATCCAGCTTCTCCTGCYTCCTGTCAATCACTGCCACCTCTATGGTTGTCATGGTTACCAGCTTTCACTAGTGGGAGGGGCTTAGKTGCAGTAGCACAGCAGAGAGGGACGAGAAGCTACTCAATGGGCCTCATGTAAGAACTGTTTGTACGAACAGATTTGTTCTTTAGTTGTGTGTACGAGTGATTTAGGAGAACTTGTGACTTTCACCAATTTTCTAGTAAGATTTTCTTCACAAACAAAATTCAGGAGTGGTCCAGACCTGTGGTATATTTTACCTGCAGTCAGTCTGCTCTTATCAGACGGATTTTCTTCACTAATAACTTTATATTTCATTAGTTTGAAGATATTTAGAGTTTAAAATAAATCACACTCCATAATTATGTTGACAATGTGCTGTTCTGTTTGAACTAGAATTAGAATTTTAAATGTATTGTATGTAGTCCACATTAGTAGACTAACAACATAAATTGGTTAAATTAAATTAATTTAAATTGGCTATTAATGTTGTTGTATAACTACAATATTAATGTGAATCTCAAACTACAAACCAACTTAAATTATGCATTAATTTAAGTTTTATTCAGAAAYGCATTTGACACCTGCGACGGTAGGGGAGATGGCCGGGGAATGGTGGGGGGTTGAATATGATTTATGTTTTCATTTCTGTGACCATATACATACAACCCACAGGAGACACAACATTAACAGTAGTCATTTCAGCAGCTCCTTTAATTCCACAGCTGACGCTGCTAAAAATGACAGATTTTCTTTTCTGGATGTCTGAGAGCAGGACTTCCATACAAGTCAACCTCTACAGACGTTTACCTGTATAAAGAGCCTCAAAATCCGTAAATTTTGCAAATAATCCGTGCAACTGGCACCCGCGGGCGAGTGGGGGGGGGGGGTGGTCTGTCGGCTGTGGACATGAAAGGACCCGCTGCGAAGCAGGAGGAAAGGAGAGCGGCTAAAGTTCAAAACTTATTTCTAGCGACAGAATAGAATCCTACAGGCTCTGGCATGTTAGATAAAATTGAAAATGAGGTTTTGAAAAAGTCCGTAACACTTCAAAAAATCCGTGAGATATCTCTATGCGTCCGTAGACCTACAAAATGCCGTAAAATCCTTATAACTTACGGACAATTCGTACAAGTTCACATGTATGAACTTCAGTCTTCAAACTCGTGAAGTTCTTCTTTTTACTTTGTGATGTCATTTATGAACGGACACTTCCTGGTATGTTGGGCAGGAAACATTGTCTTATTTGGTGATTTTAGGGCGGTAGTTATACTAATCACCTCTCCTCGTGCACGAGCAGCTGATAATTCATCAGTTTACGCAGCTCATTTACACACTTTTCCTGGAGATAGAAGAGTTTGTTGAATCTGACGTGACATGTTCGTACGAACCCTTTGTACGAACAAAAGTAAGAGAAATTTAGGATAAGAGTAAGAACATGCTCTTGCATGAGGCCCATTGTTCAAGTTTTGCTTTAGTTAATACAAAAAACTAACAGATTCCTCTGATGAGAAAACATTTGAGTTTTTTTGTTTTTGTTTTTGGTCTGAGTCCAGTCCAGGTCTGGATGTCTCCAGAGTCTCTGAAGCCACAGTGTTTTCATGTAAACAGCTCTTTACACACCAGAGTGAAATTAAAATGATTTACAGAGAAACAGTAAACCATTCCTCGGGTAAACTTTGATTTTAAGTCAATAAAATGACGCATCAGATGCATCAGGTCCATGTTTCAGTTTTCTCGTTCAGATCAAACCAAGAAGACGCCTYAGAGACACGATCCTCCATGTCCTGTCTCTGTGAGGGACTGAGCTGGGTCTGGTCCATCGTTTTAAAAAGTTCTTCAGCAACCGAAGATATCAAATGTTCCATATGTCTAAAACATGTTTTCATCAGGTCCCAAAGATTTAGTTTTTGTATTTATGGATTAAGAGAGTTTATTCTTCACCTCGATGATTCAAACTTTAATCCTGAGTCATGAGTTTCTGACGACGGTAAAGTCCAGTTCTTCTGTGGAAACCTGGTCCAGTAGAAGACACGATGGACTCCATCACTGAGAAGTTCACTGCCGTGTGGACGCCGTCCTCCTCCTTTCACCAAAACCTGYCTCCTCCCGGAGGAGGCGGTTCAGGATGTCGAGGAGCCGCTGGTGGATCTCCTGGCCTCCTCCTCCTCCCTCCTCCATCTCGTCCACACCTCGGTCTGTTTCTGAGCACTCCTGCACCGCTCGCTGCAGCTCCACCTGTTCAGGTGTAAACGTGAAAACAAAATAATAAAGAGCTGAGACGACATCCCTGATGAACTCCACGGATGAATGAAGCAGAGCATGTAGCTTAAATATCAGCTGAACGAGTGGTTCACAAACCTTTACGTTTGACCCCAACATAAGCTTAATGCCAACTGTTTATGACTCTTTGTCTCCTGTAGTGACAGATCTGAGATGAGACTCACCTGCAGAGGGAGACCTGCTTTGGCCCCGAGGATTGTGGGAGAAAACCAAGGCCTGAAGATCTTCTCACAAATGACCTGCAGAGAAAAAACAACAACAAATGTGTTGAAAGACGAGATGAGCACACAAAGGAGAAGAAGAGGGACAGTGTTGGACGTTCGTACTTTACTCACTGTGACGAGTCGTGACATTAAATCAGAAGTGAGAATAATTTTAATAATCAAAGTTTATCAAAGAGATGAAAAGTTAGAAGAATAAAAACTGCTGATGTCCCTTTATGCAGACGATGTCTCCCTTTCCATCAGCAAACACCGGAGTCTCAACACAAACACACTTTTTTCAGAAGACAAAGACTTCTTTCTCCAATTAGATGACTGACAGGTGGAGGGTCATCAGGGGTCGGCCTCAGGAGACACCTGCGGAGCCTCGGCCAATAGGAGAGCAGCGTGTCATCGACATGTCAACGGTCTTCACTCGTCTTCCTTTTCTTCTCCTCCGCTCTTCTTTCTCGCTTTGTTCTTTCATTCTTTCATTAAAAACATTTTAATGCTTTTTAACCTTCTTATTTCTGAAACTTTATTTTAATTTTTATTCAGTTTAGTTACTTTAACTCTGATTTTCTCAGCTCCATCTCTTCAGTAACCTTTAGATGAACTCTGAGTTTTTCTCTCGTTCTTTGGTTCATTTGAATCATTTTAATGATAAAAACAAAGTAAATTCTGTCGTCTTTGAGCCTCAGCAGCTGTGGAAACTGATCTGTTGGTTTCTAATGTCAGCAGGTATCTGGTGTCATGAGACAGGTGAGACTTCATGGGACAGGTGAGACTTCATGGGACAGGTGAGACATCATGGGACAGGTGAGACATCATGAGACAGGTGAGACATCATGGGACAGGTGAGACATCATGAGACAGGTGAGACATCATGGGACAGGTGAGACATCACCGCTCAGGTGATGAGAGGCCGACCGCTCGTCACGGCCTCCGAGGCCTCGGAACGACCGGGACATGTCRTCTGAATTTGTCCTTTTATTTTAACAGATAATCAAAACGACATTAATAAATGTAGAAATAAAAATGTAATAAAAAACATTTCTAATCAGTTTTTAAAATGACTCAAAGGTCAGCGAACATGATTTTAGAGTTAAACTTTGACCGGGCCTTCTTCAGACCCTGGTTCCTCCTGAGAACCTCCTCTGACCCGACCGGGCTGGTTTTATTCCTCTCCTGTGAATCTTTAATTTGTTTTTAATGGTTGTTTTAACTTTTGTCCTGAGCACCTTTAAAAGTATTTTTTTTCAAATGTTTATTCAATGTTGAATTAAAATAAATTAAATAAGAGGGTTTATAATCATATAAGATACAAAAC